TCCTTTTTGGGAGCATGCACCACGTTCTTGTTCCCAGGGAAGGCAGTGCGAGAGATGTCTACCAGGGCCTTGAAACTGTATGGTTCGTGCATGGACAGCTCTGACAAAACTTTCCTGTTCAGCTGAATGTTCTCCTTCATCAACCCGTGCATGAAATTCCCATAATTAACCTGATGACAACAGTAAAAACAAAATAAAAGGGGGATCAGGATTCACTAGAAAACATATATTATACAGGAAATCACATGACAACCACTCAAATAACTTTCTTTTATTTTTTTAAACAAGAAAACCGCTCAAATAGCTTGAGATCATGAAATCAGCAATATATTCCAGCTTCTACCAATTCAACAGCTCAACAGCTCAACAGCTTTCAGGCCAGAAGGTCTAAGATACATATGATTCCTCACACCTTACTCTAAACTTCTGTAGCTTTCCCCAACTTCCTAGATTTTCCAAACCCGACCATAAAAATATAATTTGGATATACTGTAGTGCAGAGAATATCCAAGTCAAACAAAAAACTTGAAGTCAATTTGAAAACATCAGGCAAAGTTCTAAAGACCACAGGCAGGTTTACATGCTAACAATCTTTGTAACCAATTCCAAGAATTCCAATGAGGACCCTTATTTTCAGATGCTATTCTTTTTACTTTTTTACATCTACTTTTCACTAACCAAGTTCTTAGACGTTTACTCTCCATTCTCTTGATTTCCATCTCTTAAAAAATACAACCATAACATGCTTAACCAATATTGGAGAAAGAACAATCCTCTTGATCTTTTATGCAACCAAGACTACTAAGCAACCTCTAGACACAATGGCAAAACAAAACTTAACAAAAAAGACTCTACCCGGGTTAGGATACATGACCCATGCTTCTCTTACTTTCCCATCTTTTAACTCCTAAAACCAACAAAAACTGATATGAAGTTCATTGTTCTGCAGTACATTGAAAAGCTCAAGTCCTTAATTTTCAATAATCTGGATTTTCAACAAAACATGACTTACAACGCAATCTTAGACTGAAAGGAATGCAAGAGGGACAGGAAAGGAAGAGAAGTAAAGAGTGACTAAAAATGGGCAAGCTAGGAATAAAGGTCTCTTGAATTATCTCCAACCAAAATGACCTGAAACAGTTCCTTTCACATTTTGTTTAAAGAAAATCCACATCAGCATAACTACATGCCCTACTGATGGTGAGGCTATGTTGAGGCTCAATTACAGCACCACATCACCCGAGTCATTGACTCACTGCCATATCAATAGGATGGTCTTTTTACTCTACTGCCACACCACCACCTATATACACAAAGTATTGGCTACTATTGCTCAAGATAACAATCTTTGACCAAACGAATACTCATCATCTATCTTTCTTCACATGTATTCTTCTCCCTCACTCCTTTGCGTCCAAGTTGTAGGCATATAGAAAGGAACTGAGGAATAATTTCACTGGATAAAGATAACTAAATAGACATAGCAAACAGAAGTGCATGGAAAAGTGTAACTTCGATTGAAGTCCAAAACCAAGTGAAAGAGAAACTGCTATAATTCTCTCAAACCAATAGTACCACATGCATCACTATAAGATAATAGACACAATTCGATACATACACCATGGATGCGGGTGCCAGCATTGATGCGTTGGATCCATAGGGAGCGCATGTCTCGCTTCTTGGTGCGGCGATCCCTGTAGGAATACTGCAAGGCCTTCTCCACCCTCTCTCTGGCAATCCTTATGCAATTCTTGGCCCTTCCCCTGAAGCCCTTGGCTAGCTTGAAAATCTTATCCTTGTTCATTGTTCACTTTCTCTTAATTTCTTAAAAGATCAACACACACACAGAGAACACCAACAAAACATAATCAGCGTAGGAATTATCAGTTATTTAAAAGATCCATTTCCTCCTATTACAGAACAAAGCCAGACAAGTATTCATAAAGGGAAATTCCCCATTGGACGGCAGAGGATCCAGTAGAATGATATAAATTACTTATAAAGTCCGAATATTACAAAGACGTCAATCCCTTTACAACCAGTTTAAGAGAAAATAGTGATTTTGCGCAACAAATTCTATTGCCAAGAGGGAAATTAAAACTCTCATAAACAATTTAAGCAGTGACTCTTCAGGCTTGACATACTGGAATGTAAAAGAGTTGCAAAAAGTTCAAAAGGAAACTATAATTCATAAAATAGCTTATTAACTGAGAAAGATGGGTTTTTGCCACTCACCTGAGCCTATCTGAGGTGGGTTCCTTTATGTATCAGCAGCTTCGAGTTGCACAAACGTGCCAAGAGACCAATCAAAAGGAACAACTTTTTAATTTATAATCAATAATACCGAGAACGAAGGAGGAAGAAGAAGAAGAAGGAACAAGCTTTTTAATGCGCACCCACTGTGTGGACACTGTGGAGGAGGTACCTTAAAATGGTGAGAGTTGAGAAACAAACTGGTTTGGATGAGCAGCGGGTAGTGTGGAGGCGATTGAGAAAGAATATGGATGGGCAATCTATAATATTGAACCAAGAATGTGGGCAGTTCTGTCCAAACACAATTTAGCAGCTAAATTTCCAATGGCCCATTAAGAACCTTAGATAAATAGAGCCCAACCCAAAAAACTGAACCACAAAAATTGGAGGACAGAAAATCCGACCCATGTTGATTTTAACCGGGTATCGTTTGCTCATGGAAAGGGTAGTGATAAATCTACTTTGACACTGTTGTCTCAGCTCAAAAAATATGCAGCATCTTCCAGCCCGCCTGGTAAAGTCTCTGTCTGCTACTTCTTTACCATGCACCACTACCCTTCAAGAACTTGCCTCTGCTCACCCCAAAGGTATGTCCTTTTCTATCTATCTCTGTCTCTCTCTCTCTCTCCCTTCCTCTCTTTTTTGTGTTAAGTTTTTTTTTTCTTGTCTTATTTTTGATTATATAGGGGCTTTTTTGAGCATATGGTATCTCTAAAACCATCATTCCATGTGTTTGTTTGAATGTGAATTATGAAGATTTTGGCTATTGGGTCTGTTTAATTTGTTTTCTTAATCGAAACAGAGCTACCAATTTAAAGTATAACTGGATTGGGTGTATATTGTATGTTGGCCAGATGGTCCACCACGGGCAAGGAGAAATAATATGCAAGAAGAAAGTCATTGATTTTTTGTAACTTGTGTGAGACTCAGCAGTATGCTTGCGCTCATTGTAATTATGTCTTGGTCAAGCTCAAAACCATTTACATATATATACCTGATAGTGGATGATCCGTTTAGTTTTTTTTCCCAGTCATTTGTTTTCTCTTTCTAAATGCGACATGTATCTTCCTACATGCTGCATCTTGCTAGAAATAACCTAATTCCAGATTTTCATGTCAACTTAAATTAAAAAAATTCCTATCATCCAAAAGAAAGGTTTTTATTTTTTGTTCCCTTAAGCTTATTTTGATGCTAGAAATGCCTGCTTTTCTTGATGAGCTTTCAATCCATCGAATAATTTTTTTAAAAATTTCTTAAACATCATGGTACTTGGTCTGGCCTTGGTAGGTGTTGCGAGGGTCGTCTTGAAAAAGGGGAAGACACAATTATTCAAGGATGGAAGCCCAATGGTTTACAGCGGAGCAGTTGATAGAATAATTGGTAGACCACCACCTAGGACTGGAGACATTGTGCTGGTAGCTGATGGGGCAGAAAAACCAATAGGCTGGGGCATGTATAATTCCGTCTCCATGTTCTGTGTTCGGCTGATGCAGCTGGAAGAGGAAGCAACGAGGTACTACTCATATGAGGCCTTTCTAGTTCTGATTTATCATCACCTTCACATGGATGTTTAAATTGTTAACCTTTATAAAACAGGGATTTGTCATGTGCATTGAACATGGAGAAACTACTTGAGACAAGAATTCATGAAGCTATGGAACTACGTAAGAGTTTGGGGCTTCCATCAGCTAGTACAAATGCATTCCGTCTTGTCAATAGTGAAGGAGACAGGTACTTGACCTTAGTCTATTGAGATTTTTTATAGTATATTTACAGAGAATTGCACCCATAATATCTCTAGAAGTCATTGCTAGTTTAGTATGAGATAATGATTCTCCCCTTGTCTTTTGTTAGAAAGTCCATATCTGGCACTTCAGAACTAAAGACACACTCATTAAGCTAATTATTTGACATACCAGTAATAATTAAGCTCCTCCAGGAGTTGAACATGTTTGGATGTTATTTTGTATGCATATAGGGATTGAGAGCAACTTCTTAAGGTTGTATTTTGATAGGAAACTCGTTAAGTTTGAAATTGAATTAGTGTAAATGAAATATGTGGAATATATATAATTTGATCTGAAATGTTTAGTTTTTAGTGGTAACACTAAATTGTTATTTGGGGCTCCATAGCTTTTTGGT